AGAATTATGCTACATATACAACAATGGTTGATAACATTGGATGACAACATCTTACTTGACATCATTATATCCATCCATTGTAAAAAACTGATTCTAATCACATGTTACGATTTTGACAACACATGATTGTCAACCATTGTTGTCAACTAATGTTGCATACTTAGATTTATTCGTACATTAAAAGGTGACATAACATTGATCTTGCTTCAAATTCCAAAGGGATTCCTAGGGAAAAAGGGGCTTTCTATAGGCATTTAAGGCCCATATTCTAATGTTATTCCAGCTAATTGGGCTTCCGCTCTGCCCCAAATAGATTGGGGATTTCCCGTCTCGTTGCGAGCAGAAATAGAGAACATGATTCCTACAACGTGTTAAAGGATAAATTCCACATCAATTAAATATTAAAATATGAAGTGGAAATTGCACCACACACCAAATATTTCTTAAGTATTCAATTTTTACATTTTAACATTTTTTATCCAATAATCACTGTAATATTAAAGTGAAAATAAAATGTGAAAACAACCCAACTCCTAATGGTTTTAAATCTAGTAGCTTATTTCATTCCACCAAAGATGCCCAATCCATACGTTTCAACCATGACTAAAATCCCCAATTTTTACCTTTTCACATTCTCTCAATTTTGACTCTCAAATGGAAGCTCATCCAAAGAAATTCCTAAAACATCACAAAGCAAAGATCAATCTTTTAGAGATGTCCCGCGTTCGAATAACATGTTCATCATCTTCATTTTTCAATTATTAGGGCTAAGTAACATATATAAAAACCCCAATCGGAGGTGCAATAGTCACACCCCACCACTGAAAAATCATAAAACCATTGTTGTAGTTGATTTTCCAGTATAGGCAATTAAATTCGGTGGCACGCTTATTGTTAAAAAAGAAGCTTAAAATTTATTAGCAAATATTTAATTTATAAAAATTGAGATAACAAATTAGATTAACTTATGAGTAAAGGCCATTTTCGGGCTCATTCACAATGACATCGACAGTTTGAAATTCGAGTTAGAGATAATTCCCAACTGTTAGGGATATCTCTAGATGTGTCAAAGTGGACGGACTAATCTAGGGCTGCCCTTAGTGAGGCCAAAATTGGGCCTTCAAGGCCTATTAAAAAAAAATTTTCTTTAAAAAGGATTTTGGTGAAAAACTACAAAAAGTAAAATAAAATCGGAAAAAAATGTCGGCAGGTATTTATTTGATGCAGATAACTTTAATGCCCTGTTTGATAATTTCCATTTCCAACAAAAAGCCTTGTTTGATAGGAACAAAATTCTTGGGATTTGATTTTCCACTCAAGGGATTCACGCACCCCACATTTTGAGGAATTTGATTTCCCATTAAAATGGTGGGAAATCTGATTCCAAGTTTTTTTTTTTTAAATGGAAACAAATTTCATAATCAATTATATAAAAAAAAAAAAATTCACTTTAATGGACAATTTTCATGTAAAATAAAGCTAAACGAACACTAAATTTTGATAAAAAATGATTTTTCAGGAAAAAAATTTCGTTTTGTTTTTTACTTTTTGACAATTGAAACAAATTTTATAGCCAATAGTGGAAAGAATTATCACTTTAATGAACAATTTACATGTAAAACAAAGCCCAAAATTTTAAAATTTTTCGGGTGGAAAATTATATCAATCAAACACCCTTAATTAACAATTCCCTACAAAACAATTTCTAGGCAATCATTTTCCTTGGAATTCATTTTCTTTCCACCTATTTTCCACCCTTGTAATCAAACGGACCATAAGATTCTTGTTATTGAAATATGAGTTCTGCTAGAAAGACGGGTTGGCCCTGTCTCCCCAGGGGGAGCATGCGCTCCCTGTTTGTCCAAGATTATGAATAGCAAAACTCTTGAAATACTTGACAATGCACTTGTACTCCTAGGTGTTATTTAGGGATGGCAATGAGACGGGGTGGGGTCAGGGCAACCTTCCCCTCCCCACCCTTCGCCATACCAAGCAATTCCCCGCCCCATTACCCGTTTAAGACAGGGTGGGCGTCGTTTAAATTTTTGTTTTTTTAAATATTTTATAATTTATTTTATTGCCTTCATTCATTAGATCGAAACAAATAATTTTAGTTGTTATTCTCTATTAAAATTAATGAAATTTCGTAAAATTTTGCATTTAAAGTATTGAATTCTAAAAAAAATTAATTAATTAATTAATTAAACGAGGCGGGGCACCTGTTACCCGTCCCTGTCCCGGGGCAAAATTCCCCTCCCTGAATACTCGATTAAACGGGTAATCCCCGCCTCGCGAGTATCGAGTTTGTCGAATTTTTTTGTCATCTCTAATGTTATTATAGGAATTATCGTCATGTCAACTCAAGCAACATCATTGCCCTCCAAGGTTCTAAATAGTTCAGGGTGATATTTTGTGTGTATATTGGTGTCAAATGCGCAACCTCAAATTAACAAACCGTTGCAAAAAAAAAACTACAACATTTTGATTATTTATGTATTATGTGTGTATAAACTTTTTATAAACATTCTAGTCATTTTTTATCCACACATTTTGTGGGATTCATAATTCCTACCAGATTATCATCCAAATATTTATAATTTAAACCGTATCCCCTAACATGCTTTGGCATACTGATTTTCATTTTCATTTTTCAAGGTGCTGTCCACAGTTGGTATTTGACTACCATCCATTAGGTATACCAACCACCACTTCAAACATGGCACACGTACCCCCACTAATCAACCACTTATTTTAAGATCTACGAATGTAGACGTCTGGCTTTTTTCTCTTGAATAATGCTATTATTTAAGTAAATAGTGTGACATTGCATTTAAGTGTATCTATCATTTAATGACGAATAATACTATTTGACCAAAGGCTTTTGACAAGAATTGTTGACAATGTTTTTTACTAACTGTCAAATGAACAAATGACACGTGTCCCCTGTTAAAAATTCTGTTATTGAGCCTATTCATATAACATGGTTGTTTAATGACATGCAGGTGCAAACTAAACTGGTGTTTGTGATTAGTGCTGCTTAATAAAATTATTCTTTTCTCCCTGGTCGTGATACATTTGGATCAAAAAAGTTTGATTCGTTCCAACAAGATTTGAATCCAAATACCAATTATGTCACAAACAACTTTCTTTACAACTTGTCCTGCACATCAACCCGCAACCATTAAGTGCTGCTTTTGCTTATATCTCTTGTAGAAGAGCTTCTTGAGGAAATTATCTTAATTTAATTTTCTCTAAAAACTCTTCTAATTAGATAAGTACTCCCGTAAAATTATCCAAACATGTTCAAAAATAACTTCTTAGTATCAGAAACAATTTTTGATTTTACAAAAACCCCGCCAAACAGGCCGTAAACCATTTTTAGACACCTCCTTGGTTATATTTGAATAAATGTTCAAATAATTTTCATTTTCTTGTTATATCTTATACACAAGTTCAACATGTATGCCCATACATCTCAATTCTCATAACAACCTCAACATATATAAGGCCTCCAACATTTTGATAAAAGCCCATAATATAACAACAAATGGATGCGAGTATTGTAACAAGAGTCTTACACAGTGCCATTGCACCTTGGACCATACCTCTCAACTCTTTCATCAATCCAAGCCCTCATATCAGCCAGAACAAGATTTGCACTTTCATCAGGCTCCCCTTGGATCAATGAATGGCACATTCCTTCATAAAGCTTCAAACTCTTGTCCTCACTGCTTGCCTTCTCGTACAACATCTTCGACCCAGACGGGCAAGTGACTCCATCTGACGTCCCGTGAACTGTCAAAAATGGAACTGTTACCTTGTGGAAATTGTTTTGCACGTACTCGCACTGTCTTGCTATCTCTCTCATTGTTCCGACTCTGGGCTTCCCAGTGTATCTTCTTGGATTACTCGCGATAATCTTTAACTTTTCGGGGTCTCTAATGGCCTTCCCTACCATCTTATTGTCCGGCATGGCTGCCCATGTATCAGCTAATCCAAATAGCAGTCCGTACATGAATAAATGTACCTTTAAAGACAGACCACCATTGTATTGTAATCCATTAAATAAGGCTACATGAATCTAAATACACATATATTATCATTGGAAATATCATCAATTAGCCCCACGATTGGAAAATTTACTTGAGTGTCCTGAACTCGAATTTTAATGGATTTCTAATCAATTTCGTGAATTTGAGTAGATTTCTATAGAATCCATAAAAATCTCATTAAAAATTGGTAAAATTTCAAAAGAGTATCTTATGTGTATTTTTAAGCTTGAATTTAAAATTTTAATTAAAATCTCAATTGGGACACTTCTTGAATTTAAAAGTTCTTTTAAAATCCATTAAAATCTCAGTCAAACACGTCCAGATATACCCGTGAATTACTATTGCTTAAAGGGAATTCCAGAAATTCAAAAGAAATTACTCAAGTTAGAATACTCCCTTTGTACCATTTGCATAGACTTGTCTTGTTTTTCTCACGAATTAAATGTTACTGGAAAATCAATTTTTGCAAAAAAAATTCAAAGTTTACCCAGTTATTAGTAAATTATTATTCAAAATAGTAAAGAAATGAGGGTATATTAGTAAATGAATAAAACAAAACATTCTTAATAAAGAAGCAAGATTATATATTTGGGACAAGAAAATAAAGAAAATAAACCTATATAAATTGGACGAATGGAGTATCAATTTACCTTAGAGGGCTTCATGGGTTCTGGAATTACAAAAAGCGGGGCGGAGAAAATCAACCCTGTCCAAGTTCCAGGCTCCGATTGGAAGTACATCAACATGGTTGCAAGTCCACCCATGGATTCCCCAAACAGAAAAGCTGGCAAATGCTTGTACTCATCACTAAACCTCACGCTCTTGAAGAAGCTCAAAGAGGAGGCGGCCACCTTATCCATTTCCCCTAGGTAGCACCGGATCCCGTCAGAGCGGCCGTGGCCGAGGATGTCGGCGGCGAAGACGGCGTATCCCCACGTGGCGTAGTGGATGCAGATCTTCTGGAAGAGCCACCCGGTGTCTGAACCGTAACCGTGAGACATATACACGGTGGCCTTGATGGGTTGGGTGGCGTCAAGTGGGAGGAATAATTGAGTAAAGAGTTTGCCATTTGGGGTTTCGAAGTATGATTTTTTGTTGCGGACTCCTTGGGAAGAGTAGTATTCTTCCTCCGGCATGTCACCCCAGAAGTTTGGTGGTGGAGGCGCCGCCGTAGGCGGTGCTGTTGCTGGTTCTTCTGGTTTTGCTGGTGGCATGATTGTTTAGTTCTTTGGAAGGTGCGGAAATTTGAAGGTTGTTGAGTGAATAAATAGGTGGTGGGTGGGGTGGTTGGGAGGTGGTTTTTACCAACCCTGAAACGGTTTTGGGTTGGGAGGGTGGTTCGAAATGGGGTGTGGTGAGTGGTTGGCCGTTGGAGGGAGTAGGTGGACCAAATATTGGTGGGGCCATACGTGAATAAGGGACGAGATCAGATTGGATTGACGGTACAGATCAAATGCTCTGATCCTGCCTTTCTTGTTGACCTGAATTGGCCATAATTTGACACGGGAAATTCCACTAAAAAATAAATAAATGGGGGATTAAACAGGGATTGGAGCTGTTCCGTTCGAAATTCGTCCCATTATCATTTCTAAACGCATTCGTAAAGATGTAAACTTTTGGAGGTGAATTTAGACCTAATTCGTCCCATTATCATTTCTAAACAGTATCAATTAGAGAATGA